GGGCCGGGTCACTTTCCCGGAAGGGCGGGCGCTCCAGTCACAGCTTGGAAGCAACACGCAGTCCTCGCTCATTCTGCGCATCGCTAGAAACCGTACTGCAGATCGTAGGAAAAGACGAACCGGGAGGTGACCGGCCTCCAGGCCGTGGAAATTTCAAGCCGGGCCTTGACTTCCATGTGAGCCCGTCGGACACTGCGGGTCCGGGTAGGGTGGGCTCGGTCCGAGCAGACACCCGACACACCCCCAAGTGGCACTGTTACAGCTGCAGAAGCACCCAGGGTCGTCCCCAACCCGGTCCTGCTCTAGGGCCCAAAGGCCCTTGCTTCTCATTGTCCTCTTTGTGGAAGTCTTCTTTGGTAGTGTCTCTCTGAGGTGTGTCAAAAATACACTGAACAGGGCCGGGGTTTAGCTCAGTGGTGCCACCGCCTGCGCAAGCACAAGGTCCTGAGTTTGATCGCCACCCCGCCCCCCCCCGCAAAAAAAAGAACAAAAAAATACACTGAATAATAGTGATAAAAAAAATATACTGAATGCTGCGGCCGAGCAACATCCGACCGAAAGGCAGGCTGGTAACATCACGCTGTGTCCACATCCACTTTAATTCCTTTTTTTTTTCCTGGTACTGGGATTGAACTCGGGTCCTTGCATGTGGGAGGCAGGTGGCGGAACCACAGAGGTAAATCCCCAGCCTTTCCTCACGCACTTTATCCAGTGGATCTGGCTCCAAGTGACTCCTGGCTCCTCCCTAAGGGCAGAATGACCGGGAGAGGTTAGCGTCTTACCAGTTCAGGAGTCCAAGGCAGCCAGGAGAGTGCAACTTGAAGACACTCACGGGAGAGGACTCCAGAGCTGCTGCAGAAAGCAGTGAGAACGATAGGATGAGTGTATTGGAAGCCAGGGGAGGATTTCAAAGGGGATCCGCAGCAAGGTGTCTCTGCTGTAATAGATGTTTTTATTTAAACACCATTTTTTTAATCCCCCCTCAAAACTACAATGCTGAAGCACTGGCTGTGGTAAGCGAACTTGACCCTTTAGCACAGGGCAGCAGGTACCCCGCCTGCCTGGCACACAGCTGTGGCTGGCCAGCAGGGAAGGATCTGGACCGTGGCCCTTACTCCAGCAGGAGGACCCTGGGCCAGTCTTGGGCCTGTCTTGGGCCTGTGGTAGCCTGGCCGTGTGCAGCTTCTCAAGCCTGGCTACAGACTGCGGTCCCCCAGGGCACTGAGCTCTATCCCATGTTGCTTATCGTTCAGACAGGTTCTCCCTGA